CACACACACACACACACACACACACACACACACACACACACACAGAGTCTCTCTCTCTCCATCCATCCATCAATATCCCAATGTGCATGTGTCTGTATTCCACACGAGCCAGAATAGTGAACCTGGTAAACATCTGTAGTGTGTATTGCAGATAGCACTACATCCTCCAGCGAGAACTGTGGAAGCTCAGTAGACATGGCTACATGGGGTATGTTGTTCGGGCTGTGAAAACGGACTCTAACTATTGGAATCTTCTACCTACCACGTAAAAATGCGAATATTTGGGCTTTCTGTTGGAATGTCTCCATCGCTCTGAGCATTGTCTGGTGGCCAGAGATTGTTTGAACTGCGTGTGGACAAGTCCGTCAGTTGACAAACGCTTTGGAATCGGCCAGACAAGATTTGGAATCTGTCTTTGGTTATAATTGAATTCTCTCTGTTGGTCTGTATAGGAATCCCTAATTTGTGATAACCATAACCATAAAAAAAAATGCGGTTTTGGTTTCGGTGCTTCAAAAAAGAAGGGCTAATTGGTAGAAAGAGCCCACGCCAAACCTTTCCGGTTTTGGGCGCCCGAAACTCGTCCGTTTGGTACTACCGGCCCAGACAGTCTTCAGCCTGGGTGAAATGCGCCTTCTGCGCCGTGGCCACATCTCACTAGGCCTGTTTTTACAGGCTCAAGAATTTGGGGCTGTTTTTGCGCCAGTTTCATGAACCGGTAGGGGCCTTCTTTTTCAAAATGTGGTACGTGGGCGTCATTCGATACTTCAGCGGCGCCACCGTCGGGTCAGCGGTACCACCGGCGCCCTCTTTTACATCAAAATGAATCTGGCGCTGTTTATGCGCCAGATACATGATCCGGTAGGGCCCTTGGAGGGGCGCGTGGGCCTGTAGTACCCCACATGGAAGTCATTGGGCCTGTAGAGTACCAAACGGCTAAATTTTGTGCGGCGAAAAGGTTTTGGCGTGGGCGACTTCTACCAATATCCCAAAAACAAACTGCATTCGGCAGAAATGCAGAAATGCCGATAAGTTATTTTCAAGTGTTTTTTTGTCAGGCAAGTACATTTCCCTCACGAGTCACCATAGAGTTTCGAAATGGCAAAGAAAACACGAAATGGTAGTTCTTTCATGGCCACAGTTGCAACAGGCAAAAAAATGCCAAATTGCATTTCCTACAGGCCTATATCTTGTTTTGGGCAGCTCATTCACAGAAGGGTACCGCTTCCTTTCCAAGGTACCGGGCCTATGAACTTCATTTGGAACCGCGGCTGGCACAGGGCCCTGAGGGTCCCAACTTCGGGTTCTTTCCCACGCTCCTATGCTCCAGCGAGACACACACACGCAGAGAGATAGATAGATAGATAATAGATAGATAGATAGATAGATAGATAGATAGTAAGAGAGAGAGAGAGAGAGAGAGAGAGAGAGAGAGAGAGAGAGAGAGAGAGAGAAGGGGTCGGATTCAGTAGACGAAGATCCGTGCTTTATGTGAGTGCGTGTACGTTTTTTGTAGTGTGTGCAAAGACACTTTGATATCACGATGGGCAAATTGCAGAAATACCTGTTCCCAGAAGTATCGTAGCAGAAATACCGGTCTGCCCTTGTATTGTGGCAAATATGCCAGCGACGTTGCAGAAATACCCTTTTTCCAATAGTTTCTTTGCAGATTTATCGGGCAGTTCTTTCTTTGGCGGCAACTACACCAGCGGTACCTCCTTTTGAAACAGAGGGCCCGCCTGCCTTGGAGTGCTTGCCTCATCAGGCCGGGCCTACGGGGTCTCTGTCTCGAAAGGGGGTACCTGGTAAATCTGCTACGAAACTTTGCGAAAAGGGTATTTCTGCACCTTTCCAGTTTATTTGTGGCCATAGAGGACAGGAGGTACCCGGTAAATCTGCTACGAAACTTTGCGAAAAGGGTATTTCTGCAACTTTCCAGGTTTATTTGTGGCCATACAGGGGGGCAGAGGCCGGTATATTTTTGCTACGATACTTCTCGGAAGGGGTATTTCTGCATTTTTCCCTATCACGATTTTATTCATACTATATGAGGTCAGACGTTCTTCCGGAACGGGTATTTCTGCAATTTGCCCTATCACGATTTTATTCATACTAAATGAGCTCAGAGGTCTTTCCCGTCCGCAGACCCTTCCAGTGGGGAAAAGACAGTTGGCGGGAGTAGGGTAACTAGCAGCATGACTGCTGCGTTTTCAGAGACGTATTTAGACGTATCTGCAGACCAGGTCCTACACAACCAGAGTCTCCTGGCAGCGAGGTATTACATCCCCCGCACGGCCATTTAAGTTTTCAGAATGCGAGAAAGAACTTCAAACAAGTCTATTCCCGAGGAGGGAGTTTGAGGCCAATAATCTCAAGTTTTGATCTACGATTAGGGCAATGTACGAAAGCTTGGAGATCACAACTCACTCCGTTAAAGAGTGAGCTGTGGCGTAGGGGGTACCCAGATGAGTTTTTCGATGTATCTTTGGTCTCTTTCTCAAGGAAACACGGGGGGGTATGGAGTGAACTTCTCCCTATGCTGACTGGATGGAAGTAGTCTACAGAGGCTATTCGGCATGTGCCTGTTTTTCGATACCACTGGGGTTAAGTGGACTAATGGTAGTAGGCTATGGAGGCCAACCGATATGAACCTGGTCGCTGACGTCGTATCAGGGTCTGACACCGCTGTAGGTGTTGCTGTCGGAATTCAGCATTTCTTCCTTTTTCTTTTTCTTTTTCTTTTTCTTTTTCTTTTTCTTTTTTCTTTTTCTTTTTCCTTTTCTTTTTCTTTTTCTTTTTCTTTTCCTCTTTTTCGTACGTGCCAAATGAGTGTACGGTACTACTTAGTTGTTGACGAGGTATGGTGTGGGATGAGGCGAGTGGAACTACCGTTACTATTGTGAAGGATACTACGGATATTTGCTTGGCTA